AAACCAGTTGTTTTATTGCTAGCTTTACCCAGTGGTCAGATAAGTTTCTATTGAATGAGTACAAAACACATTTTACATAAATGTTAAAGGCACGCTTTAAAATTAAATACCCATTGCATTTTGAAGTTATTTATTACATGTTCTTACAAGCTAATATCTTTTTAAAGTATGATACTTTGTAAAACACTGTGTAATATGAAGCAAGAATTCTCATGATCTGTCCGCAATGTGTTAATAAGTATTCAAGAATCTACCAACAAGACAAAAGGTAAGACCTGGACAAAAAACCCATATTGAAACAGGATCCCCATCACCCAAGGTAACCAGCACCTGACATCGTATGTTTATCATCCCCTTGCTTTCCTTTTATGACAGTTTTATTGCACACTTCATTAAAAGTGTAATTTCATTTTAGTTACCTTATCTTTATAAAAAAAGATAACAGGAAATGTAATTTATGGTACTATGACATATTCATAGTTACACATTGCTGCAATCCATTAGTATTGACTCTCGTATAATATCACGGTTTATTCATTCACTCTCTCAGTGATAGGCATTTGGGTTGCTTCCAGATTTCTGCTACTGTGTATAGGGCTGCTATGAATATTCATATGCACATGCATACTCATATGCACACCAAAGTTACATATGGGCAAGCTTACTCTCTCAGCCCAGGTGTGGGACTGCCATGTCCCAGGGTATGTGAACGCCTAGCCTGAGAAGGGAAAGACTCCCAGAGTCACCCAGCTACATTCCCACACACACTATGGATAAAAGGAGCCTGTGGATCCACATGCTCAATGCCTGGCAGTGTCAGGCTTGGTTTCTGCCCACAGAAAAGGCTAGTTAACTAAGTGTGATCTTAATTTGCATCTCCGTGACCACCAATGGTGCTGAACTTCTCTTTATGTGCATATTGGCCCTGGGCATTTACAGTTCTACGAAATGCCTGCTTACTCTCATGTCATTTTGTTCTACCGGGCTTTCAGTGTTGGCCTTCTCACTGATTATATATTTTTTATTCTAATGCTGTCTGTGGTATGTATTGAGAACACTGTCTTGTGTTTCCACTTTTGCTAAGAAATCTTAACCAAAAAAGGTCTTATTTTTAAATTAGTCAAATTTATCTCTTTCCCAGTCAATGCCTTCTTAGTGTCATACTTAAGAAATCCCTCCTTATCCCTAAAGGTCTTATTTTTAAATTAGTCAAATTTATCTCTTTTCTAGTCAATGCCTTCTTAGTGTCATACTTCCCCAAATTGTGATATTATCGAATGTGAATTTTAACATTTTGGCTTGGGCATGTAAGTTTTTAATATACTCAGAGTTGAGGTTTTTGTTTGTTTGCTTGTTTGAAATATGGCATGAGGTATAGATCCAGGTCCACCTTTTTCCAACTAGACTTTGCCAGCTCCCTTTACTGAACAGTGGTCTCTCTTCACCCAACTGATGAAGCTCGCAACTCTGTCTTCTACAAAGTTCCATACAGGCCTGCTTCTGATCTCTCTCTTCCATAGCATTGGTCAAGTTAATGATCGCTAAACCAAATGCTAGTTTCATTACAATAGCCTACTTAGCTCTGATGACTAGAAGGACAGACAACCTCCCCACTCTACTCTTCTTCTTCAGAAGTGTCCTGGCTATCTTTGATCCTTTACTTTTTTTAAAAAAAAATGTTTTTATTGATTTCAGAGAGAGGGAGAGGAGAGGGAGAGAAGGACAGAAACATCAATAATGAGAGAGAATCACTGATTGGCTGCAAGGGATCCCAAAACCCAGGAATGTGCCCTGACTGGGAACTGAACCCTGACCTCCTGGCTCAACCACTGAGCAACACCGGCCCAGCTGATCCTTTACTTTTATATAAATCTTACAACCATCTGTGGAGGAGAAACTGGCCCAGATGTGACTGACTGGTCCAGATGTGACTGCTGCTGGACCTACGAGCTAGACTGGGACCAGGATGGAGATTACTTCCTGTTACCCCCTCGGAGAATGTGGGATCCTTCCTGGATGCTCTCCTGACAGAAACCAGTACCTCTCCTATGTGTCCCACAGCGTGCTGGTGCCTGGAATAGGCCATTGTCCTGACCAGGTCACGCATGTAAGGCATGTTCCTATACCTGGGACTGGTCACACACCAGTACCCCTGCCCATCCTGCCCTATTCTATATAATTCTTTGGCTACATATATAACAATTATTTAAAATTAAGTTGAATATTTTTTAATTCTTCATATTTACCACACCTAAGAAGAATCTTGTTTTATCTTACAGTTAAATCATTTCTAACTCCTATTGTTTTCATCAACAAATAAAATAATTTTTAAAAAATATATATTTTTATTGATTTCAGAGAAGAAGGGAGATAGAGAGACAGAGAGGGAGAGAGAGAAACATCCATGATGAGAATCATTGACCAGCTGCCTCCTGCATGCCCCCTACTGGGGGTCGAGCCCACAACACGGGCATGTGCCCTTAACTGGAATCAAACCCGTGACCCTTCAGTCCACAGGCCGACACTCTATCCACTGAGCCAAACCAGCTAGGGCCAAGTAAAATAATTTTAAAAATCCTACTGTCAGAAAATGTTGCTTCCCCTTTAGTCAAAGTCAGGATTTGGTAAAAATTTTAAATAAAATGCTCAGCATTATAACAGATGTAACAAGTAGCACTGAATTCCTAAAGCTACAGAGACAAGACCCTTCAGTCATTTACTCCTTAGGAAATGACAAGTGAAAACCTAAAGCATGCTGGCAACTGTTTAAGGGACAGACATTCCGTTCCACTTAAATTAGCTAAAGAAAAAAAATAAAGGAACATTTTCCCTATTATAGTTCTTGAAACATATGAAATCACTTTCCAATAGCAGCACTTTTTTTCCATTTCAGTTTTTTGCTCGGACTTACCGCTTGGCAAACGCTGGCGTTTCTGGTTTGGGTTATGCCTCCCACAAAGACCACACAGGTCAGGAAAATATGGAAGCACAAGTTCACAAGCATGTGCCAGCCCTTGAGACTGATTCTGATCAAACTGTTAAAAGAAAAAGGAAAATATTAATATTCAGGCTAGTATATTTGAAGCAGGACACTACAGTTCCTGCCTTCAAAACTTTAAGCTTAAAACACCAAATTTCATATGCTATCAGACCGACAGACAGAAACACACACACACACACTCTTTGAGAACTCATTTAACTCAATATCGTTTCTTAACATTTAACACACACACACACACACACACACACACACTTTGAGAACTCATTTAACTCAATATCATTTCTTAACATTTTACTTTACGCACTAAAAAAGACAAGTCATAAATGAAACTACTGCCCCCAATGAAGGCTAAAGAAATTAAGAAACATGTGGGCTTTTGTTACTTCCGATGTCTGTGACAGATGAATGACTTGTCTGCCTCCTAGCGATTTCTGCAAGGTGCCAATCTCTACTTCCCTGACCTACCCCTGCCCAGTGCTTTTCTTCTTGGCCTTTCCTAATAAAATGCTGAAGTCTTTCATTCTTTCTTTTATTTTAATATCAAAACTTCCTTTTGTTTCTTAACTAAATGTCAAGAAATGCCATGCAGGTCCAGCTTGAATAGGAAAATACATTCTATCAAAACCTCTTCTAAGGTGAGTTGCTGCTTAGCAAATCCCTTCAGTGCAGTTTCCTACCATCAAAGTTTCTGTAGCTCTGCCCCCAATGAACAAAAACCATACCTCGTGCTTAAATGCCACAAACGTTCTTAAAAATGCCATCTATAAAATAAAGGATGTCGGGACAGAGAGAAAGTCATAAACCAGAAATAACCCCCCATTCTGGTTCTGGAAGACAGGGCTCCAGGTAACAACCTGCAGCTGACCTCACCCCTGGTGGCTGCCCGGCCCCCCTCCCAGCCTCCCTCCCAGACCTGCCATGTTCTCTCCCAGATACAACTGACTGGAGGCTGTAAAAGCTAAACTGACCATCTCATGTACTAATTATGTCGCAAACTACATGAAATGAACACAGCTTGTATGAATTCTAAAATAATTGTTCTTACCCTGGAAAGATGGCAAAAAAGACACAAAAACGGTCAGTGTTATCCTAGTGAAATGTAAAATAAACTCCTCTCCATCAAAGTCCTACACTCGCCAGGCTTTATGTCTCACCTGTGATGGTACATGTAACTGACGATGACCGCTAACAGGCACAGGAGAAGGATGACGGCGGTGGTGTAGACCACGGGGTGCAGGAGGCTGGCGGCCTGGGTATAGAGTTCAGATCCTGTCAGGTCCTGAGGGGAAAGAAAACATCACTGTAGCTGAGCTCTTCCGGACACGTAACCTCTGAGATTTTCTCCTGTGAAAAATCACTGGTAACAAAACTCTGGTCCCTGCATTTGGCCTCTAGGCTCCTTCCAGGCACTGGCTGCTTTGCCTTCTGCTAGGAACTGTTCAACACACATCGCCACTTTCTTGCTGGCTGTGTAATCTGGGGGCAGTTACAAGTGGAGACGCCACCAGTGTCTGGCAGGTTTGGGGTAAGGGCAAGAGGAGGGTATGAACATGCCTTCCAAGTCCCTGGCAGAGAGTAACAACACAGGTAGCTGGATATTATCTGATAAGACATTGGACAAAGCACCAAGTTCCTAGAATACATCATAGATTGTAATATTTACATTGAACAGAAATAAGTGTTTCTCAAAAGCCAGATGAATGTGACGTAGTACATGAAAGTAACGATTCTGAAACAGAGGGCAGTGACTCCTAATTCAAAGTGACGAATGGAGAAAAACACGAGGACTATGTCCCTGGTCACCGCGGGCACGGCTTCCACAGGCCATTCCCAGTGGCCACAGCAAACCGACCTGGCCAAATGCAAGAGACGCCCCACGGAGACGCTGACCAGGGGACGGTACAACGGGCCGGACAGTGAATGGTTGGGACTTTGCATGCCACGAGGCAAACCAAGGCCATGGTGTGGGTACTTAAAACCACTGGCCATTTACAAATTTTCAAATCACTCTGAGCTTTCCAGCATTTAAAACCAACAGCACCTGCCTGAATTGGTGGGTCAAATGCTTGCCAGGGTTTACCGGCCGCTGGTACAGAGAGAACAAATAAAAGAAGAAAAGACTATCTTGATGGCCCACAATTCTTGAGACTATACAACTATTTAAGACAGTTACGATTAGGATAGGAAAGATGTTAAGATCTCAAACAAGAGAAGTCAAGTAGAAACCTGAATCAAAATCATTTTTAATTATACTAGTAAATAAATACAGACTGCGATGCTAAAAGCAAAACATTTCTAAATACACTGCCCAAAAACGGCCACTAGGAGACACCCTGAGAAGGAAAAGTGAGACCTTCAGTCACACTTGCAACACAGTGATGAGACAGGAAGTCTCCATCTGCCTCAAGTGCTTGCAGGACACAGTCCATCCCCAAACTAAGTGGTGATCATAGTCACTCTTCTATAGGGTACAAAGTCCAAGAAAAACAATGAGCTCAGAGTGAAAAGCAAAGCTGTCTGCAGACATTAAGCAGTATTAGAACACCTGAAGGTACGTTAAAAATCACAAAGATTATTATTAAGGACACAAATCAATGAAAGAAGTGTTCTTCAAAATCTTTGTTTCCTTGACAGACAAATATTTCTTTATTTTCAAGCTACTTCTAGCCCGAGAATCACTATATAAATTCACTGGCAGTTTTAAAGAGTTCATTAGCATTGTATCAATAACAAGGACAAGTATAAATCAGTAGTCCTCTAATTTCACCAGGATCTGAACAATGGAAGAAAGTAGGGTACATTCTGTCAGAATATAAAGAATTATTCAAAAAAGTTTACCAATAGATTAAAATTTTAATATAGATCTGAAATCAGAAAAGTAAAAAAAAAAAAAAAAAAAAAAGACTATGACTTCTATGTTGCTTTTTAAATTTCCCCTAAGAAACAGGCATAATTTAAAGATTTTGCTCCCCTGACATCACAGCATACAAAGTCCTTTCCAGTCAAACCATGGACCTACATGTGAAAGATAAAACACAATAAAGCTTCTTAAAGAAAATAAAGGAGACTATCATTATGATCCTGTGTGGGCAAAGATGTCTTAAACAGAACATAAAAAGCACTAACTATTAAAAAAAACTTCAGGAAAATTAAGAAATTCCATCCATAAAAAGAAAACATTGAGAGAGAAAGAATAAAGGCATATCCATAGGCTTAACGTTTGCCCCCCACCCCATTCATATATGTTGAGATCTAACCACCAATGCGATGACATTAGGAGGTGGGGCCTTTGGGAGGTGATTAGGTCATGAGAGGGGAGTCCTCACAAATGGGGTTACTGCCCATACAGAGACCCCAGAGAGCCCCATTGTCCCTTCCACCATGTGAGTACGAAAAGAGGGCCCTCACCAGATACTGAACCCTGATCTTGGACCTCCAGCCCCCAGCGCTTTGGGAAATAAATTTCTGTTGTTTATAAACTACCTAATCTGCGGGATTCCATTACAGCAGCCTGAATGGATTAGATCAGGCACGGATGAGGAGAAGATATCTACAACACATAAATCCTACAAAAAGCTCCTGTTCACAGTCCATATCAAGAATCCCTGTGAGTCAATAAGAAAACAATAGATAACCAGATTAAAAACAGGCCAAGACTTATATGTGGAATAAAAAAACAAAAACAAACAAAACCTCATAAAGGGATGGGAGGCAGAGGGGTGGGAGGTGGGGAATTGGATAAAGCTGGTCAAAAGGTACAACTTCCTGTTATAAAATGAGTAAGTATGGGAATGTAACATGTAACATGATGAATATAGTTAATACTGCTAAATGGTTTATTTGAAAGTTGCAGAGAGAGTAAATTCTAAAACTTCTTATCACAAGGAAAAAAAATTTTCTTTTTTTTTTTCATTAATCCTCATCGGAGAATATATTTCTATTGATTTTTAGAGAGAGTAGAAGAGAGAGGAGAAGACAGAGAGAAACATCAATGTGAGAGAAACACATCCATTGGTTGCCTCCTGCATGAGCCCCAACGAGGGGCAGGGCCGGGGAGGAGCCTGCAAGCAAGGCATGTGCCCTTAGCCGGAATCGAACCTGGGACCCTTTGGTCCACAGGTCGATGCTCTAACCACTGAGAAAAACAGGCCAGAGCAAGTTTTCTTTTTTTAATCCCTATGAGATAATGGATGTTAACTAAATTTATTGTGGTAATCATATCACAGCATATATAAGTCAAGTCGTTAGGTGGTACACCTTAAACATATACAGTGCTGTATGTTGATCGTACCTCAATAAAACTAAAAAATGGTCAAAGATAATTTTTAAAAAGGGCAAGATCTGGGCAAGAACATCACAAAAGGGGGTCCCGAAACTGACAATAAGAAAATGAAGAGGTGCTCAGCATCATTAGTCACCAGAGGAAGGCAAAGTAAAACCACAATCATATATCATAATACCACCACCAAGACTAAAATTAAAGACTTAGAATCCCAAGCACTGGCAAGGATGTGAGGCTACTCAAACTCTCATTACGGGTGCGACTGTAAACCAGTACAACCACTTTGGTCAACTGTATGGTATTATCTACTAAAGCTAAAGATAGGGACAGCTTCAATCCAACTATTTCATCCCGTCCAAAAACATGCACATGAATAATCATAGCAGTGTTTTCTTGATAGCCAGAACCTAGCAACAACCCAAATGTCCATCAACAGTAGAATGCACAAGTCTGGGTATTTGCATACAATGGATTAGTATGTAGGAATGCTGCTTCATGCAAAAACAAGGATAAATTTCACAGATATAAGTAATGAGAAAGACAGGAGACACACAAAAAGTACATACTATAGGATGCTAATTATACAAGGCAAAACTTATCTATTCTGATAGTCATCAGAAGGGTGTCTATCCCTTGAGATGGTGAATGAAATTAAATAGAAAGAAACACATGGGAGCTACCAAGTGCTCAAGTAAGAATCTTGACTTTGATGGTAGCTAAATGGGTGTTTTAATGTAAAAATATCAGCAAGCCACATATTTAAGATGTGTGCACTTTGCTCAGTATCTCAATTGAAAGCATTGGTCCCCTTTTGACTACCAATCCCACTTGAGAATCTATCTTCCAGATTTTCTATTAAATGTGCAAAATAATACTGTATAAGCAAATTACTGGAACCCAACAAAATAGAGGAATATGTAAATAAATTATGGTAGGGACATAAAATAATATTCAAAGGTGAAAAGGGATGAGGAAGCTCTTTTATACCAATATGAGAAGATTTTAGAAAGATTTAGCAAAGTGATTAAGAACACAAGTTTTTGGCCCAGCCAGCATGGTGCAGTAGTTGAGCATCAACCTACGAACCAGGAGGTCATGGTTAGATTCCCAGTCAGGGCACATGCATGGGTTGTGAACTCGATCCCGAGTGTGGGGCATGCAGGAGGCAGCTGATCAATGATTCTCTCTCCCCACTGATGTTTGTATCTCTTTCTCCCTCTCCCTTCCTCTCTGAAATCAATAAAAATGTCTTAAAAAATACAAATTTCTGAAGTCTGAATTCAAATCTCAATTCCAACACTAACTAAATTTGTAAACTGGGGCATGGCACTTAAGCTCTCTATGCCTTGGCTCTTCCATCTGTAGACTGGGGGCAATGATAACAGTACTATACTCCATGAGGTTGTTATCATGATCAAATAAATTAATGCATTTATAAAGACTTCAGAAGACTGCTTAGTACATAAGTGCTTAATGTAAATTAGCCACTGCCATCACCACCGTCTCGGTCATTATCACCACTGTCATATCATCATTAGATCTCATCATCACAAAATTTCTTTTTCCATGGAAACCATCATCATTGTAAAATGTGGTTTCATGAAAAAAAAAAAGGCAGCACGGTATAGAACAATGTTTGTAGCATGGAAGCTTCCTGTAAACATGGAAGAAAATGTATTCCTTTTTGTTCCAATATGCCTGAAAATCTATTCAATAATATTCAAAAAACTGATTGGTGGCTACATATTTTGTGGAGAATGTGATGGGTGAGAGGGGTGGGAATCAAGGTGTCACTGTACATTAATGTGCAGAAATAATTATAACTTTTGATCCGTGCGCATGCAGTACCTATTTAAAAATGACATCAACAGAAACATGACTAGCTCTTATGTTTAATTACAGAGAAAATGAAACCAAACTTTGCTTTTATTCGGCAAGTTTTATATAAAGAATATTTAAAAGCAACACTAGAGAGTTGTAAGAATAAATGAGTGCTCTCTAGTTTCACATATTTCTAGGTGAATACAATAACAAAGAAGATTCAAGATACAGAGATGATTTTATCTTCACTACTCTTACCCATTAAAGTATTAAGTACTACATAAATGGTTTGACCCTAATCATTACCTACTTGATATTTAAGGTTTTTTTTGTTTGTTTCTTACTGGCCCAGCTCCTAGAATTCTTCCTGACCCAACTGGCTTTCTCCGATCATCTAATTCAAACAGACCCAATTTCTGTTTTACTTTTTCTCTGGCTCCCACAGAGACCTTATGATATAATGGGTTATGGCAGGATGTCTACTGAACCAAACTACAGTATCTGTTTGAGATTTAAAAACAAATATATTCTAAAAACAAACAAATGAACAAACAAAAACTATATATTCTTTTTATCTCATTTTTTTGTACAATATTCTTTAAAATCAGATCAGGAGGAGAATTATGGGCTACCTACAAAAACATAAATTTAGACTTGCTATATAAAACAATATATGAAGATCTTTTTCAAGAAAAATAGGATTTTATCTATTATTCAAATTAGTGTCAGGTAAGGAAAAAAGATGTTGAATTCTGATTTTGTTTTTTAAACCTCACCTGAGGATATGTTTATTGATTATTTGGAGAGCGAGAGGGAGAAACAGAGAAAGAAAAAAAGAGAGAAACATGGATGTGAGAGAAACATCAATCAGTTGCCCCCTCCATATGTGCCCTGACCAGGGATCAGACCCACAACCTAGGTATGTGCCTAGACTGGGAATTGAACTTGCAACCTTTTGTTGTATGGGAAGATGTTCCAACCAACTAAGCCACCTGGCCAGGACTAACTTCCAATTTTTAAAAGACATTTCTTCTATTTTAGACATTATTTATTTGAGAGTAGGTATAACTTCATTTAATAGCCTTTAATTAGCAACTCTAAAAATCCCACATACTAATTTTATTATGTACTAGTATGTTTGTCAACATTTTAGATACATTTCAACTTGCAGCCTCTAGGTGGCACAATTATATTTAAGAAAAGCAAAAGAAAGCATATTCTTTGAAAATAGAACAAAGTCTTAGTACTATATTTTAGCTTTAAAGAATTGTGTTTAGCATTTTTTAAAAGATTAAAGTATGAAAGATAAAAGAATAGCTTATTCCTTCTGGAAAGGGATTATACTAATTTAAATAGTTTAGAAGAACAGCTAGGAAGTTCAAAAAAATAGATGCTTAAAACGGGTATTAGATTAAATAAAAATAAAAGTTTCGCATGGTACTGTATCAGGTCATTACCAGTGGAGCTCATAAAATGCCTTTTTTGTGTGTGTTTTGTGTCTCATTTATTTTCCCCAACATTTTCTACTTAACTATTATATACATTTCAGACAATGTTGTATCTCTATTGTTTCTCCTTCAGTGCTTGATAGTTTCTGGTTATTTTATAATCAAAACCTGAATGAGAAAATACTTACAAAACGGAAAGGAAAAATGTTTCATACTTTCGTCAATGGTTCATGCTTTAATTTGAAAGGTTACTACAAGTTAATACATTGTGAACTTACAGAAACCAAACTCACACTTACAGAAATGAAACATCCTCTATTTGTGAGGAGATTCCTAAACTATCAACACAAACTTTAAATGCAAAAGGATAAACGACTTATATAAGCACAGCTGAGTCTAAACAGGATAGAAGACCCTGCCTCTGTCCCCTGGGATGAATAACACTTGGTAATGAATGTCAGTGGAAAAGGCAAGCCTCATACCCTTGCTAAACAACCTATTTACTCTTCCTGTTTGACAGTGGTGCCAGGTAACAGATATTAATTTGAGGGGCAAAGAGACAAACAAAACAAGAGTTGAGGAACATCTATTCTAATTGAAGCTTGCTTTAAGATCATTTCTAGTGGTAAAGGCTCTTTCATTTTTTTTTTTTCAAGAAGAGACTAAATCACCAAAAGCAAAATGTATCCTATTTCAAGGCTGGTTAAGGCTTTCATAAAATATTGTTGCGATAACAGATTCAGAGCTGGAGACAGAAATAAAACGTGGGCGACCTCACTCCCAGGCTAGCCTCAGGCCATTCCTGAGAAATGTCTTTCAGGTTCATTAGCCGTTCCTTCCACTGCACTCTAAATACAGGCATCGATACTGCAGGATGTTAGTATCTTATAGTAAGTGCAATATAAAATAAAAATTAGCATGATTAATTTAATACCTGCTAGCTCGGGATCAGATTCACATAAATAACGCATTCATGAAAAGACCTGTCCCTGTGCATTAATAACTAGTCACTTTGCCGAAGATTAATAATGATAAACAACATAAAACATTAGCCTGAGTAGCATTAAAATTGAAGACATGATTTGTGTCAGTACTGTTGCTTACAGAGATGAAACTGAAATGATCACTAGTCCCCTAAATCAGCGGTTCTCAACCTGTGGGTCGCGACCCCTTTGGCGGTCGAACGAACCTTTCACAGGGGTCGCCTAAGACCATCCTGCATATCAGATATTTACATTACGATTCATAACAGTAGCAACATTACAGTTATGAAGTAGCAACGAAAATAATTTTATGGTTGGGTCACAACATGAGGAACTGTATTTAAAGGGCCAGAAGGTTGAGAACCACTGCCCTAAATTCAAAAGGAAACCGAAGAAAAAAAATCTCTCACTGCTCCCTGTTTATCTGTGGGCAAATGAGTCACTTACTGGGTTGAGTTGGACTGTATAGACCCAAAGATGTCTCCAGATCTTAAGGTCAAAGTCTACCTAGGTGACCTGATTCACTTACAAAGTTTATTGAAAATTCCTATGTCAAATTCCATCAAATACGTTGCACTGGATAGGAACTTGATTTCCCTTTAAAATCAGAATTGCACTAAACGTCACCTGTTACGTAAAGGGAGCAATTATGTTAAAAGTTTTGGTTTGGTTTGTTTTTAAACCTTCATTTGAGTTTAACTATGCATAAGGCAAAAAAACGAGGAGACTCAGTGTTTATGCATGAAGTGAGCAACTGCCATACCATTAACACGGCGTAGTTACTCAGGGAGTAGCACTGGATGGTGGTGATATTCTCATCCGAGTAGAGGATATGGCACCCGTCGGACTTCCAGCCCCCTTGTCCGTTCAGCAAGTCGAAATCCCACTGGGCGGCCACGGCATCTGCTCCGTGCGCGATGCGACGCAGAGTCACATTAACGGGGATGCGGTGGCCGTCCACACTCACACCATCTGGAGGGAAGGGAAATGCAAGCATTTCTGAGACAAACTTCACGAACAATTAAATGTCAAACTTATACACAAATGGGCACTGTGCACTATCCTTCTGCGCTGGTGGCTCATTACAACAAGAAGGAACAACAATAAGCATTTGCAGGAACAGGGAATAATAAACTCGCGTTGCGCGGCCGCTACAGGATGGCATATGCCACATACAAACCTATTTTGGTGAGAATCACGGGCGTAACCACGGTGCGGCGTTTTCCATCATCAGCCAGATTCGTCGAGTTCCCGGTGGCTGGAAACAGCTTTCCGTTTCGGAAAGCGATGAGCTGAAGCTTATAGAGAGAGTCATCGGTTGGTCTGACTTCTCTTTTGTGCTTTGGTGAGAAAAGGGATGGTGGGAGTTGAATAGAAGCTTCTACAATAGTATTCTGAAAGAAAACAACAACAGCAGAAAAAAAAGGTTGTGGTATTAGTATGTAGAAACCAGAAAGAATATTTAACATAGTTTACAAATGTTTTCCAAATAAATGCTGAATACTTTTTTAAATGTATACATAAAAATTTAATAGCTGAAACAATTTATCAGTTCAGTGAAATGTCTGAACACATAACATCACAGAAGCAAAGACTATAAAAATAAAGAGAAAAGAAACTCTATTTCAAAGTTAAAGAAGTAAACAAGAAATAATTTCAAACCAGAGTGAATTTTCCCAGGATATCATCTACAGTGGAAGCAGTTAGCATTAAACAGATCAGGAATCTCTGATCACTCTTTATGACAATTTTACGATGACAAAATTTGGTAAATAAGTACAAATGTAGCATATCACAAATGTGAGTATAATTAATTTGGGTTTATGGAACTTTAAGGTGATTTATGATGGATTCAAACTGTCGAACAGCAAAAGAAAGAAATGACACAAACATAATAGAAGCTTAGATTCAGCAAATTCTTCTTTTAGACGTTTCCCTGAGACTAAGAAAACACATAATATTTAGAAAAACGGAGTACAAATAGGAACAACAGAAGATGCTGGCTGGTCACTGCATGTTTTTCAGACTGCTTTATTAGGAATTTTATACTAATAAATTATTCAGCATTCAATAAAAAATAAATCTATAAACCCAGGAGGCAAATAATAACTATCTCAAACAAAACTCCCTATTTTAAGAATTTATCACAGTCTTTCCCTTGGCACCAACCAACCTCTCTCTCCAATCCAATGTTCACGCTGCCAATGGAATTTCCTCTTAAGAAATAAATCTGATCATGTTCTTGGTTCTCAAATGATTACCGAATACTGCCCCCCAAAACCTAACAAAATACACCATATCATTTGGATAAAATCTATGTCTCGAATTCAGCGTTCAACACTCCCTATACCACAACTATAATCTGGCCACACGGAATTTCTCTATATGTGAGCTCTCCTCCGTTCTTTATGCCCCTGTGAAAAATACTGCACCGGCCAGTGTCCCTGGCTGAAATGCTCCACTATTCTTCTGCCTGGCAAACTCAAACATGGCAGATTTGATGTTTCGCAGGATAATTGTGTTGGCAAGGTAAAGGACAGGTCAGGATGAGGAAGGTTGGCAGCCAAGAGAAGGACTTTACAAAGTCCTTTACACAGGGCTCTTTTTTTTTATGATTAATTACCTGAGTCCTCAGTCTACTGCTTTTACCGTTACTTGCTCCCTCTTCTGGACTCCTGCGCCCTCCCGCACAATCTCTAGCATAACTCACACTGGCAGCCTCACAGGTGACTCACTGTCTGGCCCTCCAGCTAGAGCAGGAGGAATTTCAAGTGCAGATAATCTCCCTGGTTTTTCTAGACCCCTCTTCAGGTTAATAATAGTTCCTGGCAGTCATATTTGATAAAAGTAGCCTATTGTTTATAAAATTAATAAAAGTCCATGTCACATGTTTCTGTTTTTGTTTTAAAAAGGTTCTACTTAGGCAAGTGAATAATTTTGAGAGTTCGTTTTTGACTGCTGTACTTAGAACAATGTCGGAGCACAGCAGATCCCCACAAATATCTGTTGAATGAAAGTATTTTGGGAGTTTGAATATCGACAGTTTTTTAAACTGAAGATGCCTAGAAAATATTAGAAATATTTCATCTAGGAAAATGCATAGAAAGTTTTCTGCTATTGTCACAAATATAATCTGGGGAGGGGGACAGAGTGTATTATAAACTCATTCATTAATCTAATACAGTTCTATTAAGTGTATACATTTCTCTTAAGTATATAATGAGGCATTAAAAAAGGGAAAAACAGAGGGGGTAAATGGTGATTGGAAAAATAAAATAAAATGTTTTTAAAGAAAGGAAAAACATCAACAGATTGATTAAAATGTTTCTTGAAAAAGTGTTACACATACAAGATATTTATTAAAACTTAAGTATAAAATTCTTGAATACAAAATGATGAGAGCTCTGGCTGGGTAGCTAGGTTGGTTAGAGCATCATCCCAATACTCTAAGGTTGCAAGTTTGATCTCCCTTCAGGGCACATACAAGGATTAACCAATGAATACATAAATAAGTGGGACAACAAATACTTTTTTTCTCTCTCTCTCCTCCCCCTGCCCCCCCAAAACAATCAATCAATAAAAAATGACTTGATGCCTGGCTGGCGTGGCTCAGTGGTTGAGCATTGACCTATCAACCAGAAGGTCAAGGTTTGATTCCTGGTCAAGCGCACATGCCTGGGTTGTGGGCTCAATCCCCAGTAGGGGGCGTGTAGGAGGCAGCTGATCAATGATTTTCTCTCATCATTGATTTCCTATCTCTCTCTCTCCCTTCCACTCTGAAATAAATAAAAGTATATTTTAAAAAATAATAGTAAAAAATTTCTTGAAAATAAAGCATAGTTCTTAGGAAAGTATTACTTAATATAAATCATTTTTTAAAACAAATCATAGTAATATTTTCTAACAGAGAGCTGAAAAATGAAATGACACCTATAATTCCTAGAACTCCAAAAACTTTTTCTTCACGAGTTTAAACTTGTAAAATCAAACAAACAACTATTTAAAAAACCCAAGTGTATAGACAGGTCAATGAGAAATGGGAGCCTCATTCAAGACTGATCCATACTTATGGCTTCTAAAATATCCTGCAGAGTCCAATAAACAATACTACTAAATAATATTTATAGGTTCCTTGTGATGGAGACAGGGTAGCCTAGAGGTGCTAGAAAAGCAAACTTCAGGTGTATCAATAAAGTTTAGAGGTTTATACAGAATTTAATATCTGTATATTTAATTCGTTGAAAGAAGGTTTGATCATTTATTACAAAAAGGTTAAAAATCTAGTTTTTTTAAAAAATCACTGAGACACTTATTTAATTTTTTACATTTATCATGATTATGCCTTTTGCCACATGGCCTGAAGTGAAGAATCACAGCGTTTATAATTTCATTTAAACATATATTAATTTTTAAAAGTGTGGATCACAGCAATGGAAATAGATATAAACACATGAATTATAGCTAATAAGTGAGGAACATCTCTGTTAGAATCCTTTGGGAAGTACATGTTTTTGGTATCTGATGTTTATTATTAGAAGCGCCTATGCCACCCCAGGGGGAACGAACACAGGGCCAGAAACATGAAGCCAGGACCCGGGCCTCAGCTTCACCACACAGCAGCTGCCCAACACTGCCCAGTTTTGTTGTCCTCTCGGGGACACATCTCAAAACACAGCTAGTGAGTGATCTTTCTAACAAACACATGTGAGGACCAAATGTGATCATGGCCATGACAAAAACAGAAGGCTAAGGAACTGTGAGCGGGTGGGGTTTTTTTTTAACTATTATTATTTTTTAAATGTATTAATGTTGATTTCAAAGAGGAAGGGAGAGGGAGAGATAGAAATATTAATGATAAGAGAGAATCATTGATGGGCTCTTTCATGCGCGCGCACGCACACACACACACACACACACACACACACACACACACACAC